CCTGGCCCTAGCCTAAAGCCTCTGCCCGAGGCTTTAGGCCTGGGCCAGGGCACCCCCAGCTCCCGCCACAGCTGATCGCTGGCTGGCTCCTCCCCGGCCCAGTCCTAAAGCCTCTGGCCTAGGCTTTTGGCCTGGCCGGGGCACCCCTAGCTCCCCTCCCCTGCCGCCATCTATGATCGCTGGCTGGCTCCACCCCGGTTCCCCCTGCCATCACCGCCATCAACCATCGCTGGCTCAATGATTGCTGGCTGGCTCCTCCCTTACCCAGGCCTAAAGCCTCAGTCTGTGGCTTGGAGCCGACATATGCAAATTAGTCGCCATCTTGGTTGTCAGTTAATTTGCATATACTCACTGATTAGCCAATGAAAAGGGTAGCGGTTGTACGCTAATTACCATGTTTCTCTTTTATTAGTGTAGATAGATTTTGACACATACTGGCAGTCAGGTCTCATGTAGGTTACTTACCCACTGTTGCAGAGTTAGTGTTAGCTTGTTGGGATATTAATGGGAAATGATAATCCTCTATTGCCCTTGATATATGGACATGAGACAGGAGGAATTTAAAAAATATAAAACATCACTATAGAAAGTCATAAAATCTCTTCTGGAAATTTTCAACAATATTATTTGGAATGGTAAAGTATTTTGAAATGAATTTTACAACATTTCAGGGTCCCTTTGAGTCCTATGTTTGTATAATTTGATTTTCTAAATCCATTGATATATGATACAGATAAATTTTCCTTCATGTGGAAATGAAATAGCTAGTATCTTAAGTGGGAAATAATTTGTATTTATAAATTAAGCTTCTATTTATATATTTGTAGAAAAAAGTTTAAGAAATTTTATTACATATGAATACAAATGGAATATACCTGTTTATAATTAATGAGGGAAATCTAACAAAGTTTAAAATATCTAATGTTTAAAGCTCATTTTGTGGCTTTAACACATTTTAATTTAAGCAATTAAATGACCATCTTAGAACATTCATAGCATGGACATATTGAGAGAGATAGGAGCAGTAACAGGGAAGAAAGAAAAGGGGACTGACAGAATAACAATGGAAGAGGAGTTCCCTGGGCTTGAGACACTACTGAATATGTATAAACTTAGCCCCAGTATCCATAGCAGAACAGGATGACAATTCTAAAGGCAGCTCCCAGGATCAGACTTTTGCATGTGGGTGGCATGACCATGTCGGGGTGTGTGAATGTGTTTTCCTGGCTGGACAGACATTTTTCCTCTTTTGTTAAATACATGTTGTGTGTATGCAAAATGAACTCTCTTTTCCCAATGCTGTTACAAGCACTAGGAAGCAGTAGGAACATAGGAAGCCAACTCTCTTTTGGAAAACCAGACTAACTCTTGGAAAGAAGCCTTACAATATTGAGTTAATCCTTGTGTAGAGAACCATCCTTCTGAGGTTTGAATATCAGTTATTTAAATATCCTGAAACTGATGATAGGGAGACAGCACAATATAAAATTAGAACCAGAGTGGTCTTAAATGCTCATTTGAATCAAGTCTTATGATACTGTCATAAAGCCAAAGATAAGAAAATCATGCAGGATGGTGGCCAATCAACTTCCTCAGGGCAAGAGAAGTATCACACAGTTTTCACTTGTGTGGCCATTCCTACATTTTATTACTTTCCAGTAAAGAAATTTCTCTTTACAAATAGTAAACATAGACACATATGGTTTGGGATATGAAAGAGAGAAAGGAAGTGAAAAAAAATTAAATAGTTTTGTATTAGGCATATAGGAGATGTTCGATGAATAATACTCCCTTCCCCTTTAACAAAAATCCTCTCAATAGACCTTGAATTATTCCCATTTTCCAGAAAGGAAACTGAAGCCTACTTATAAATGATGGAGATGGACTTGGTCTGTTTAATCACAAATGTAAGTTTTCCACAACATCAGGATCTTCCTCAGAGTGTAATGGCTTTCCCAGAATTAGAGCAAAGACTTTTTTCCCTTTTTATTTGGTGTAGCTTCTTCTCAAGATGTCTGATTTAATGGGCATACCTTTTTCTCATAAGGCATTATAAAGTAGTACTTAAATTTGGTCCTCTGGAGTTCGTTTAGATTTAAAGATAAGCTCTGTCTACTACTATAGTGTAATCTGGAGGTTACTTTAACAATCTCTTGCACAGAACTAAGTAAGAACTAAGGAATAAAGTTTGAACTTAAGTCAAGGATCATTTATTGATGTTGGTTCCTTAATTATAGCCATACTAATGTAAGATGTTAATTATAATGTTAATAGTGCCTCTGGATATGGGGTATATGAGAACTCTGTACTATCTTTGCAATTTTTGTGTAAATTTAAAATTGGTCTAAAAATAAAGTTTATTTTTTTTAAAACTGTGCTTCAGTGCCCTCAATTGTTTTCTTATGAAAATTTGATGAATTAGCACTATAGAGTACTTAGTTCCTGATAAATATGAATATGCAAATAAGTTTTAGCTATTAGCTCTTTTGTGCAGTGTTTAGGAAAGGAAGAGGTTTTGACAGAGAAGGAAACTAACTCTTTTTTATTGCGAGTCTATTCAAAATGTCCAATGAACCAGTAGTCAGATTAAAGAGTTTCCACCTTCTTATGCACCAAAAAGTTTGTATGGCAAAGGTCTTCTCAAGGATGTGCTTTTTAAGATCAGCAAGTATCCCTAGCACCTCTAAAAAGAGTTTATTTGCCTGATTCTCTTCAGTTTGTCTCCAGTTACAAAGAAGGGTCAGGTGAGATTGAAAAGGAACATAAGAAATTAAAATAAGCACTGAAGAGAAGCAGATTAATCCCACATAGAAGTTAAGGGTATTTTGCTAAAGATTCAATGTGACTCTGATTGTAAGAATTATGAAACTCAATGTTGGAAACTCAATATTCTGCTTAGCAAAATTTTTCAGTCACCAGTTGCCAATCACCAAATGCCCTGATTCCTTGATATTTGGCTGGACTGCCTCTGTTGCAGTTTTCTTACATAGAATGAAAAATTCTGTGTAGAGCCACAGAAAGAAAGCACATGTAAAAAGATAGCATGTTTATTACAAAATGAAACTAGGTGTTAGATGAAAAGAATTAAGGACTAAAATGAATATCTGTGAATCATCACTTGGTTGTCTTCCTGCACATTATAAATTTGTGGGGCAATAGTCCCCTGTCCCTTCCTCAATATAGTGCTCATTTTATTTTCTAGTGTAAAATTGGATCACAAAAATAATGAATTCCTAACTTCAAAATATTTCCCCATGGCTGAAATTACATATCAGTTTTTTCCAATCTTAAATGTGCATGCCAACCTCCCAAGGAAGTCTTATAAAAAGACACATTACAATCCAGTGATGCTCAGATGGAGTCTAGCAAGTTCCTATACCTTTGAACCACACTTTGTTGAGTAAGATTATGAAGGTTTAACCTAAGATATACTACACTATGCCCACACATGAAGTTTGAATTCAAGAAGGTCCAATAGTCCTATCTATCAATAGGTAAATAAACTCCCATGTTTTGAAACTTTCAAGAGACATATGCCTTCATTTTAATAAAAATGATTGCTTAGCTCAGTAATTCTCAACTCTGACAGTACCAGGGCATGGTAATTAGTATTTTTAAAAGCTTGCCAGATGATTCTATCATGAAACCAAGATTGAGAACCACTGCAGAGCTTAAATCAGATTACTGATATTTCATGTTAGCTAATTCATTGGTTAGCCTCCTCATGTCACCCAAATGGTGCTAATTTCTGAGGCAAAACAAAGTAAGTGGGCACTAGCCTCCGATGATTCAGAAATCAAATATGTTTGAGAAATACTATATATTTCCTCTCCTTTTCTTAGAGATTCATTTGGCATATATTAAAGGTATATGGATATCCGAATTTCTGTTGAATATGCATGAAATGCTAGAACTATGGGACTATGTCAACAAACTAGGGGAAAATGGACTTTGGGCAGACGTCTGTGTAGGCTTTACACATCTACATGGTTTATTTAAGACTTGTCAAAAACTAATGAGTCTCAACCTGACCGGGGCCATTGAACAGACTGTCAAACTACAGTGGGAAGCCTGGGGAGGGTTTGGGGGGGGGAATTAAGAGGTCAACCGATAGACTTATATGCATGCATATAAGATTAACCAATGGACACAAGACACCTGGGGGGGGGGGAAGGGGCCGGGGGAATGTCAAGGAGGGGAAAAAAGGAGACATATGTAATACTCTTTTTAACACTTTAAGAAATAAAAATTATAAAATAAATAAAAAGAAAAGAAAAGGAAAAAACAAACAAACAAAAAACTAATGAGTCTCTAAATGACACTGAGAATGATGAGGGTGACAGAGACACCCTGGCCTAACTAGGGACATGGGTATCACATTAGTATCAATGTGAATAACGTAATAATTGAAAAGGTCTTTAAATAGCACTATCACAGCTCTCATTCCTCCTGTCTGGCTATCAGAAAGGAAAAGAAAATGCAAAAGGTGTTACAAACAGCAGGGACAGACCTTGCCTTTCTTTGGATCTGTGCAAGGAAGGAAATATGTCTTCTGTACTCGGCATAGGACTCTGAATACAATCAGGACTGACTGCTGACAGATTTCTCCTTCACTCCACCCTTGGAACCAGGCCAGAAACTGGGCTTCAAAGTATATCTAAGTGAAAGTTCATTTCAGCTTTATCAACAAACATGAGTGCAGCCAAGTAATTCTGAATTACCCTTATATAAACAATGTTTATCTGTTATTTCCTTTTGAAAATAACTATTGTGTTTTTTGAATAAGCCAATAAAATATTGTTTGTCTTTGTGATTCCTGATTTTTTAAAAATAAGAATTCCTCAAGTGAAACTTGCTTTTGAGGTTCCCAAGATTCAAAGAACACTTAGGGTTTTGCCCATGAATAAGAGTGCACAAACAAACAGGGATCATCTGTACTGTTGAATATTCAAGAGCATTGTGATATTAAATAGAACCATAAAGCATTTTCTTCTTTTTCAACTTTATTTCCCTTACTAGTAAAATGTAATGAATTACAGCTACCTTAGAGGATAATGAGGATTAAGTGAAAAAATATTCAGTGTTATTTAATAACTTGTAAAGTCTTCTGTCAGTGATTAGCTACATGGTGGACAACACTTTGAATTAGGTCTGTCCTGTCCTACAGTCAGTTTGTACATGACCCAGTGACTGGGAATGTAGTCCAGTGAAAAAGAAATGCCATGCACTTAGGGTTAAGCCAGGGAATTTCTTAAGTGTACATCAAACTCAAAGGCAGAGATACCATTCAGCTTCGTCTGCTCTCAAATTTCATTTCCACATTGACTTCCTATGTGCTTTTTCAGATCTTTGCTTCCACTAAAAAAGTGTTCCCCCTCCTCTCTCATTGAAATGATTAATCAATAAAAATGTTCTTTCCAATTGTTTAAAATATATTATGTGAAATCTCATTTTGTTTGCACATGCTACTCAAGCCATTACTCTGGACAGTCAATAGTTAAAAGTGTGTAGAAATCAAATCAAGAACAGAAATGGCCACATGGATTATGTTTTCAGGAGGCTCTGCAAGGATTTCTAATATGTACTGTGAAGGTTACTTTAAATTGCTGTTAAGTTTTTAAAGATATTTGCTGATCTCTGCATAGCAGCTTTTGTGTATTTACTGCCAGGATAATTCCAAACATAAAGAGAGAAGGCCTGATAAACAAATAAAATTACAGTAACACTTCATTAAATGCTAGGATGTGAAAGTTTATTCAGTAAATATGAACACAACAGACTGATCTATTAAACATATGTCTTATTAAAAGATATATGAATCTCAAATACTTGTACTTATACATAAAATTCAAAAATTGCTAAAGCTACATTTTTTTTCCAAAAGTATTCAATTATTCACTAAATTTGATTGAGACCATTGTATATATCTGGACCAATTTTATAGCTGGATTGATAATCACAGGTGAAAAAGACTGTTTTTAGTCACATTACTGTAAGTGGGTTTTAGGGGAGGTAGGGTTTATTTCTCTTTCCTTGAAAGAGATAAAGAGAGAATATTTTTTCTCTTTTTTTTCCTTCCTTTTTGTTTAAATCAATTCATTACTCTAGAGAGAATTACAGGGCAGAATGGGTGAATTATAACAATTATTTCATGGAGTAAGCTACACATGTCATGAGGTTATTATAAATATGTTTTTTCCAGTGTCCTAAGGTTACCAAATGAATTTTGAAATTCCAATTGATTCTTCTTTGCTAAAGTTTGTTTTAAAATATACATTGGTAGTATCTGCCTTGAAATGTATGCAAATCCATCACAGGATATGAAAGGGATATCTATTGTAGCATCTTTGTAGTGGTGGGGATTTGGAGGCAAGCTGGGATATGGATAGCTGTCAGAGTCTGTGGATTAGATTACTCATTGCAATGTAAATTGACCTTAAATATATAATGTCAATAAAAAGTACTGAAGAGAATGTGATATATCACATAGTACTATGGATGTAAGCTAAACATGTTCACTCCGAAAAACTACATATTTTGTAAGAGTACATGTAAACAACAACAAAAAAGTCCATCAGTGAGATTATTTCAGGCCATTAAAAAAAGGTATATGATTTTATTTTTTTTTTTTAATTAAATCTTTATTGTTCAGGTTACATTTGTTCCTCTTTTTTTCCCCCCCATAACTCCCCTCCTCCCAGTTCCCACCCCGAGAGAATATTTTTTCTCTTTTTTTTCCTTCCTTTTTGTTTAAATCAATTCATTACTCTAGAGAGAATTACAGGGCAGAATGGGTGAATTATAACAATTATTTCATGGAGTAAGCTACACATGTCATGAGGTTATTATAAATATGTTTTTTCCAGTGTCCTAAGGTTACCAAATGAATTTTGAAATTCCAATTGATTCTTCTTTGCTAAAGTTTGTTTTAAAATATACATTGGTAGTATCTGCCTTGAAATGTATGCAAATCCATCACAGGATATGAAAGGGATATCTATTGTAGCATCTTTGTAGTGGTGGGGATTTGGAGGCAAGCTGGGATATGGATAGCTGTCAGAGTCTGTGGATTAGATTACTCATTGCAATGTAAATTGACCTTAAATATATAATGTCAATAAAAAGTACTGAAGAGAATGTGATATATCACATAGTACTATGGATGTAAGCTAAACATGTTCACTCCGAAAAACTACATATTTTGTAAGAGTACATGTAAACAACAACAAAAAAGTCCATCAGTGAGATTATTTCAGGCCATTAAAAAAAGGTATATGATTTTAGATCTCCATCACATTTTGTTTAAGAAATACAAAGAAGCCCTAGCTGGTTTGGCTCAGTGGATAGAGTTGGCCTGTGGACTGAAGGGTCCTGAGTTCGAATCCAATAAAGGGCATATGCCTGGGTTGCCGGATTGATCCCCAGTAAGGGGGCGTGCAGGAGGCAGCTGATTGATTCTCTCTCATCATTAACATTTCTATCTCTATCTACCTCTCCCTTCCTCTCTGAAGTCAATAAAAATCCTATATAATAAAGAGCTAATATGCAAATAGTTATCATGCCCTCACATCATCAGGCCCTCACACCATCACGCTATAACTGCTCAGACACTCAACACTGGGGAGAGAGGAATGGGGACTAGCCAGGCACAAATGAGCTTCCATGAGAGGAATGGGGACCAGCCAGGCACAAATGAGCTCTCGAGAGAGGAACGGGGACCAGCCAGGCTGCGGCCCGGGAGAGGGACAAGCCTCCCGCCCCATGGTCCTGGGTGCCAGTGGCTGCAGCCTGGGCGAAGCCGCCTGCCCATTGTCCCCTGCGGCTGCGGCCGGCCTAGGTGAAGCCGGCCCGGGTCCTGGGTGCCTGCAGCTGGCCAGAGGGAGGGAAGCCCGAGTCCAGGGTGCCTGTGACTAGCCGGAGGAGGGAATCCTGGGTGCCAGGTGTGGGGCTAGGCAAAGGCGGTTAGGGGCGATCAGGCCAGCAGGGGAGCAGTTAGGGTCGATCAGGCAGGCAGGCAGAAGGGTTAGGGAAGATCAAGGCAGGCAGGTAGGCGAGCGGTTAGGAGCCAGCGGTCCTGGATTGCGAGAGGCAGTCAGACATCCTCCTAGGGGTCCCGGATTGGAGAGGGTGCAGGACTGGCTGAGGGCCCCCCCCCCGCCCCCTTGCACGAGTTTCGTGCACTGGGCCTCTAATATATATATACACACACACACACACACACACACACACACACACACACATGTATATATATGAAATACAAAGAAAAGAAACAGATAACTAATGTTTTATTATCCCTTTTCTATCTGATGATTTTTTAAAAAAATACACTAACCATTGATAGGACTTACGATAAAAAGGTCAGGATTGGCTGCAAACTTGAAGTTAATTTGATTTAATCATTGCTCAGATATTAATATTGTCTTTTAACATTCCTTCCAGGTGTTTGCTAAGCCAACATGGTTGTACTTGCATTGACAGCGGCTCTTCTTTCGAAGGAGCACACTTTTTTGGAGTGTAAGTATGAAGTTTATTCTTTTAACAGCAAAACCAATAGGGGCATAAATAAGAATAACACTCTTTGTGCAAAATTTAATTCTTCATAGGTTATAAAACACTGTTTTCTCAAAGTTGAGGATTTGACCACTGACATTAGTATTAAAGGGTAGGGAGAAAGTTGTTTAACATGCCGGTTCCTGGACTCTACCCCAGATCTGCTGAATTGGAATCTGAGTCTAGCCCTAGCTGGTTTGGATCAGTGGATAGAGCGTCAGACTGTGGACCAAAGGGTCCCAGGTTCAATTCTGGTCAAGGGCATGTACCTCAGTTGCAGGCTCTTTTCAGGCCTGGACCCGGGGTGTGTGCCAACTGATGATGTGTTTCTCTCTGTCTTTCCCTCTCTCTTTCACTCTCCCTAAAAATCAGTGGGAAAATATCCTTGGGTAAGGATTAAAAAAAAAAGAATCTGAGTCTAAAACTTGATTTTTAACAAGTCCCCCAGCCCCACATCCACTAAGTGTTCTTACATTTATGATAGTTTAAGAACTACTTGTATAAAGAAGCAACATTACAGTATAATTAACTCTGTTCTTGTTCCTATTCATAAAAAAAAATTAAGATGTCATTGTGGGAAGCTATTATATATTTTTCCTATAAATGTTCACTTTTAATCTTTTTATTCTCATTTATTGCTCTAAGACATTGAATCCACATTGAAATTTAAAATAGAGGAAACAGATCTATTATATTTTATTTTTTAAATCCTCACCTGAGGATATTTTCCATTGATTTTTAGAGAGAGTGGAAGAGAGAAGGAAAGACAGAGAAAAATTTCGATGTGAGAGAAGCACATCAATTGGTTGCCTCTTACGTGAGCCCTGACCAGGGCCCAGGCCAAGGATGAGCCTGCAACCGAGGTACATGCCCTTGACTGGAATCGAACCTTGGACCCTTCAGTACTTGGGCTGAGGCTCTATCCACCAAGCCAAACTGACTAGGGACATTAGCATATTTTAAAGTTATGAGGTTTTGTTGCTGTTGTTTAAGAAGAATACATACAAATAATTTGGAATAAACTTAAACATGACTACAATTACAGCAAATCCTCACTTAATGTTGTCAGTAGGTTCTTGGAAACTGTGACTTTAAGCAGAATGGCGCGTAATGAACCTGATTTTACCATAGGCTAATGGATATTAGTAAGAGTTAAGCTTTTACTGCATATTTCTGGTCACAAAACATCACCACCCTTCTAAGTAAAGACAAAACACATCTCATCTTACATTGAAATAAAGGTGAGTTATACATACATTTAAGAAAGATGAATATAAACAAGTAAGATTCCTTTATTCCAACCCCTTCCTTTTCCTGGAGCCTATCCTGGCAGCCGAGGGTGTAAGACGCATCACATACACCCACACTCACTCAGACAATGTGGATCAGCCAGTGTACCTCACATTCTCATCTTTGGGACGTGGGAGGAAACCACAGTCCCCAGAGAAAACCCATGCAGACATGGGGAGAACATGTGCACTCCACAAATACAGTGGCCCTGGCTGGGGGTCAATTTCCCCCCCTCATCATTATAACAAAACAACATTGAACTAAATGATGTTATTCCAGTACCTGCTGTGTGTCCTTCTAACACATAGCAACAAAGAATTATTCCTCTAGTAAATATCACTGTAGTTATCCTATTTTAAAAAGTCCTTTGCCTTTCAATAGTGTTGAAGAAAAACAAATAGTCATTGGCAGAGTTGAAAGAAGTCGTTCAGTATAAAATGTTATGGTCTGGCACTGGAGTTATATTTATCACATATGTATTTCTATTTTAGGAAGAGAAGATACTATTTGAGTATTTTGAACAAGAATAACACTGTTTTGAAATGTAAGTTGTGCAGCCAAAATTCATTGCTCTCACCTTGTTGTCCTATCATCTTTAAAATCTGAGAATTTATTTTGATGCTGAAGAAAAAACATAAGAAAAATGTACTTTCTCTAACACATTCAATTGAAATGGGCAGCATGTTATCTGGCATATAATGATCAAGTTAATGTGGTTTGTAAGGCTGTTATCTTTCTCATTGATTTAACTGCGCATTCTGGAATTCTGGCAATGAAACCAGGAACTGGGACTTGTAACATTTTTTTTTCTCTCTCCAAAAGCTCAAAAAAACTATTCATACTGCCAACAGATATACATTGAGTACACACTCACACATGCATGTGCTTGCCTGTGCTTGCCTGCACACATGTGCACACAGACAGCCTATCCCTGTGAGAATAGAAATCTGGTCTTTTGGTGCCCATTACAAAAAATACTAAGGGCCAAACCTTTTAGGCCTGGAAAATAGCTAATACTCTTGCCAGTGAGTTAAAGCCGGGGTATCCCCTTGTCATAGCCAAATTTATGACATGGATCAAAAACTATAAAAAGCTATGTTGCATCCTGCCATTAAGGAGAATTAATATTTTCAGTGGTATGTTAACCAACGTTTTTCCAGTGTCTCTCGTTAAAAAGCAGATTGTTGACTTTTCATCATGGTGTGCCAAACATTTTCATTGAAACCCTAACAAGACTTTCATCTTAGAACCATTATTTCTTAATGGACTTGGATAGGGGAACGTAAAGGAATGGCTTTGCTTTGCAGCATTGTGGCAGGCGGCATTGGGCCGTCATTAGTGCGTTGGGCTTTGCTGAATCATTACATATGTAGACATTTAAGGCATTTCCAGTGTGACTTGAGTTTTTTCCTTGAAAACACACTTCATGCACTTCATGTTTTATCTATTATGCTAAAGAAACATAGGTTTTTTTAAAAAAAATTTTTTTCTTTATTGATTAAGATATTGCATATGTGTCCTTATCCCCCCAATGCTCCCCTATCCCCCCACTCCTGCCCTCTCCCCCCTGGTGTCTGTGTCCATTGGTTAGGCTTATATGCATGCATACAAGTCCTTTGGTTGATCTCTCCTCCTTACCCCCACCCTCCCCTATGTTCCCTCTGAGGTTTGACTGTCTGATCGATGCTTCTCTGTCTCTGGATCTGTTTTTATTCATCAATTTATGTTGTTCATTATCCTATCTAATAAAAGACAAAAAGGGTAATTAACCGTACCTCTGCTATGCTTCCCATTGGCTAATCAGG